TAAGCCAGGATAACTGTTCTGAGATTTAAGTGAACGCAATAGGAAAATTATACAGAAATCATATTCAGTACAGTAGACAAAACCCAATTTATGTGTTTTGTATCGACTTTTAGATATTACAGATACCCTGGAATCTGAGATTGATTAAAAATAGCATTATCGTTTGCTACATTCAAGTTACTAGCTGTGGTACAGTATGACGTATACGTAACATGTGAATTGCATTGGAAAAACAACAACATATTGTGTATATTAAATTGTCAATTTTGATTTCAGGCATGCCCTATACATGAGAGTGTGCTTAAAAGAAGCATTATCACATGCAAGCTGCCGTTTGCTGTACAACAGAGCGTATACGTGATATATTAAATAAACAAAACGATTGATGTGTGATTAAATAGAGTATTTTATTTAACCAAATTCCCTGCACACATGGAAATATATACACTTATATACATACATGTATATACCAAATAGCATAAAGTGTCAAATATATTCAACTCTTCTCTCATCAGCAAAAATTCATTGACAAGCCACAAATTAATTTAGCCATCAAATACGCCATGAAATTGCTTTGATGCTAATTGATTTCGAAGAATTCGCATTTGTCTTTGATTGAAGTTAAGCTAAAATCAAATAATATTATTCATGCATAATTTGAAACATGTATTATATAATATGCCTTGTCTATTTTGTCCTTTGACATGATAAATTTTGTCTAAAACTTTCACCAAACACAAGAGCCAAAAATTTGAACAATGTCAAAAGACGATGAAGCCCACTTGACGCCCCAGCTGAAGGAGCACTATGAGAAGGAGGTGGAAATTTTGGGTCTGTTGATGGATATGGAGAAACGTTATTGTGACTTCTATCAGTTCTATCAATGCGAATTGGAAACACAAAAGATTATAACCGAAAGACTCTGGCTACTGACTCAACGATATTTGATATTGATTAGCTCAGCGCCCGGCTGCCGTTATCCCGAGGTGTATACGCTCTCCGCCGAGGAGTCGATAATCAATGAGTATGAGGAAAAGTTCGAGGTGATGCGATCATCAAAGTAAGATATTAACCTTTATATATACACATATATATACACGATATATCATATATATAAACATCCCACAATAGCAACAGCATGAAGCATGGCATTTTGAACATTCATCTGGAGTGCAAAAAGTTCTATAAGGCCTACGATCAGCTGGACCGGAGTCAAGAGACGCCGTTCATACTGGGCGATAAATATCATCGCAGCATCGAATCGCACAAGCTCATGATGATCGATATATTCAATTATTTCTATTCGGCTGTGCTGAAAATGAAATGCTATTTGCATCAATTGGATCCCATGAGCCTGGAGAGTGTCGAGGACTATCGCGAGCTGCTCAAGGAGAGCAGCTCGAATGAGGAATTCGCTGAGCTCGTGATGAGCACATTTGTCTACTGCAAATGCCTCCAGCCCGCACCCACCTGTCCCATCAAGAAGCTCAAGTGCAGCCATAAGAAAATTGAGGATTTGACATACGTTAGCCGAATATAAGTGAGTCGACGACTGCCAATATTGATTAAGGTTCCTAGGTCTAATAATAATAAATGTACTTATTTATATTTTCAGACACCAGCGCCCTTGCCATTGTCCTTATAAATATTACAGCTTAACGCAGTCATTAACTTGGCCATTAACTGTATAATGTCCATTGTCTGGCCTCACATTAAATGTTATTAAAAGCTCTCAATGTTCCACAATAATTGTCCATGTATTTTAACTGTACTTAGTATACGAGCAGCGAACTCTCCCTTCCCCTACCCCACCCGAAATCATCTTTCGTCAGTCTATCAATATTGTTCGTCTCTCATTACAGAGCAATTTCCATTCACTTTTATTTTGTTTTCGGTTTATTATTTCATTTGCTGTCGCTGACAGCGATTTCCCTGTGAACTTTCTGGGTAAATGTCAAGTGGAAATATGTAGATTCTGGCAGCAACGGATAATTACGACGAAATGTGGGTGTTTTAGAGAATTGTTGAAGGTCATCTGATAATTTACGCTTCACCTGCTAAATTAATACAAATTGGTTTATAACGAAAATAAATTGCCGGAAAATTAAGTTCAAATATGTAAATTTATCGCAAAAGTGAAATATGAAAAGCGACGATGAGGAGTAAAGACTGACTGCACGCTTTTCATGAAAGCATCAATGACCTAACATTCATGCCTGGACCTGCATTTTCTACTCTATCGAATATTGCTCTACTGCTGTGTATATCACTTTTTTAAAAAATAATAAAAAAATTGGAAAATTTGTTAATTATAATTATATTTTTAAATATTCATATTGCAAAACTATTCTTAATTTTTCTAAAATGGGAAAAAAGAAATAAAAATAGTTATAATAAAATTTGTAATCAATGTCAATGTCAGTCTTCAGGTGGATTTCAAGTTTCCTATCGAAATGAAACCCAAAATGATACCAAAAATCGAATAAAAAATATTATTAAATTATAATAATAAAATT